TTTTAAATAACAATTTAACAATTTATATAAATAACAATGAAAAAGCTTTTTCTTCTTATATAAAGTTCTTGTTAAATAATTTAATAAAGAAATTTTAATTATCATTTATATAATATATTAAATTTTCATTTGAAAGTTATGTTAAAAAATGAAAAAATTAAACTAAATTTATTAAAAATAAAGAGAAAAGTAATTATATTTTTTATTAATTTATATAAAAATTAAAAATTAACTTTAATTCTAACCATTATTCAATTAAAAACTCTCATGTGACATTAGTTTTTTGACATTAATTTATATAACCATTTTCGTTTGGGTTGGATTGGAATTCAATGTAGTGATTAGGGTATGGGCTTTGGTGAAGGGATTCACTTCACATGGCCCACTTTTAGATTCTTGAATCTGGGTTTTGCCCGTATATAATTTTTTCTTATTAATGAGCTCTAATTTTTAAATTTGCTCCCTCTACGAGCAAGTAAAATGTTCTTTTTTATGATGTACGTGTGTATTGTATATATATATATACATATATTTTGACAAGGGGAATATGAGTTAGGAGTTAGTATTTGGTCAGGTCATGATTCGAACCAAGAAAGTGAGTGAACTCTACTTGCTACTCGTGAAATAACGTAACCAATTCATTGGGTCACATGAGGGAGTTTATACGTATATACTATATTTTATTAGACAAGAAATGATTAATTAGCATTTACTCTTGTGCATGACCTTATGGTCTAACGATTTAAGGTCGACTCGTAAAAATGCATCTTTCAATTCAAGAGTTGAAGTTTGAATCCTTCTATTTTCAATTTGTAACTCTATTTAGAAATAAAAATAAATAAATAGCACTTACTCCTATATATATATTTATATGTTGGTTATTAGGGGAGGAAACGGGTGGCATTTAGGTGCATCTAATGATGTGTTACACAAGAGAGAATATATTTTTTTCAATTTTTTCTTGTCAAATTTAAAATTTGAATATGAAAATTTTAATTTGTGCATATTTCGATACTAATCTCTTATCAATTTAGTCAAAAACAAATCATCAAAATCAGAATTAAAGAATTTATAAAAAATTACTTGCTTATTAATTTTTTAAATAATTGAATCATAATGAATCAATAATGAATAAGGTGAGAAACAGATCTTTTATCAACTAAATCACAACTTTTTAGACACTACCATTATTAAATGAGGAAGTAATAAACTTAAATTTTGTAAGAATATATACTTTGATTTCAAGACATAGTAAAAATTGCTAACTATAAAAGAAAATTAAAAATCTAATAACCATAACTCAAAAACCAAATTCAACGAAAAATCATCGCGGGTACTCTTTAAGATTATATCTATGCTTTTTTGCAATAGTTAACCCAGAGAAAATAACATGTATTCCCTTGAATTGTTAAAATTTTTAATTACTACTTAACACTCTAGACCGATTGTCATTTTTTAAATGAATTTAACTTAAAATTTATCTTAGAAAACGAAAGTTATCTGACTAAATTCATTTAAAACAAAAACA